GAAATCTACTTCTGTAGTCGGTACCAGTACACATGTGAACTTTCAGATTACATGGTTGGTACTGAAGCAAGCTCATCGTGTTACAGTCTGCTAGTTTTAAATGTGTTACGGAGATGAAGCCTTGTAACTTTGAAAGTTCATTCAACTTACGGTAATGCATGTTTGTGTTAGGCATGTAATGCATTTAGCTGAAGCTCACTTGGCAAGGGGCAAGTACTAGGAAAGTATTACTGCTAATGAGAAGAGTTGTCTCTAAGTTAAAACTTCAACATTTGTTCAAGTTTAAATTGCTTTGTGTCAGGGAAATACATTTATAGTCGCTTTTGCTCTACTCTGCGTAAAGAACCTTATGTTTCCTTTTTAAAATTGTAACTTTTGGTAGGAAACACAAACTGAGGCAAGCAAACATTTCTAAGAGTTGTTTCTTGCTCTCCTTAATCCAATGGATGGAAAGGTAATATTGTGTAAACAACATTATTTTATTTTTTTATGCAATATCATGCTGTAAATATGATTTATCAAATAAGGATGTACCTATGATTGAATCTTTGATTCTGCACAGTTAGAGTTTATATATAAATATAAATGTCTTGACAATCAAGGACTTATGTCAGTCTTCCTTTATGATGTTTATTATTGTTATGCATTCCATTTGTTTGAATTGAGTACCGATGTGGAAATTTGTATTGTCTGTAAAGTATGTAATGTTTTTATGGCCTGTTAAAAGAAGAAACAACAAATGCTGTACATAGATCCGGACTGATGGCAGTACCGCTCTGTTCAAAGGCGTACGATGTTGTACTGTTTGTAAGCAATAATACACGACAGTGCTAACTTTACGAGTAGCATAAGGATAAGTTCCAAAAATACCTTTGGGGAGTTAATAGCCTTGAGTTAATGAATATTCTTAATCGTTTTTTATAAATAAATTCAAACGTCCTCCTGCTGGAGTAGGTAACATTGTTTACACAGCACAATCTCAGTCACAGAGAGGACAGCCTTTAGATCCATGACTTCATCCGTGCAAACTTTGAGTAAGAAAGGAATGGCTTGGCTGCACTTCTGCAAGAGGAGGAAGACTGCAAAAGTTGAATAGCTGTGTCTCTAAAGGATGAGAGATACTATTCTGCTTCTGTGCTGATTCCTGACAATTCCTCTGCTTAAATTTGGAGTCTTTAAGTTCTGATACTGAACTGATGAGACTTGGGCCTCCAGTAGAAAGGAATAGTTCTCTCCGTATTTCATATGCAGTTAAACAGTGAACTTACAAGTCACGTGTTCAGTTGAGTTGTGTATTTTTCCAATTATGAGCTATGAGTTGATGAGTTTATTCTGATAAATAAACTAAACGTCAAACTTATAGTTTGAATTGAGTAGGGATTAGACTGTACAGAGCAGCAAAGCTATTTGAACGCAGTCATCACTGCTTTAGAACCCCCTCCCACCCCGATTTATAAATGTATATGACCTACATTTTATAGAAAAGAAAATGTTTTTAAATGCTAGTCATTTATATAATATGTGCTTTGAAGGATTTGCTAGTCCACTTCTGTCACTTTTAGTACACTGGTATCTTTTATATGTAATGTATGCTTTTTATTATTATTGTAGTAAAGCATTTCAGTAGGAGGAATTTTGCAACAGTATGAGGGGTTGAAATTTTCCTTGTCAGAAATGAATTATACTGGACTTTGTCTGTGTAGTCTTGTCTTTCTTTTAAAGCTGTCTGGAAGGGAGCTTGGTGTTCAATAAAGCAAGTGACCTCCTTTTATGTTGAAGGCATACTATGTAGTGCTGAATCGGATCTGGAAACGTGATGGATTTGAAGACAGAGCAATTGGTACAAACTCTGAGTGTACAGAAGAAAGTGTGCTCTGGAAAACCTGGTGATATATATCTAGTGGAACACTGTTACGGTGCATTTTCTGATCTAGTGTTATTTTCCTCAAGTCCAAATGCCTTCTTCGTACTTCAACTAATAAACAGAAAAATCCATATAGATAAACTTAGGATAATAGGTTTATTTCAATAATTATACAGTATTTCTTTATCCTACGACATCTATTCCGTCCGTTTATTATTAGGCAAAAGATCATAACCTGAATTCCATCAGTAAAAGTATGTATATAGATAAGAGATGGTTTTGTAGGAACTGGGCAAGGATGAAATTTGTATATTCTTTATGACAGAAACCAGGATGGGGGTCTGTCTGTACTCCTGGGAGATGAGGAATTCCCCAATACAAAGAACGTGTGCGTGCGTGTGTGTGTACATATGTGAAAGATGCATGGGTCTCCTAGCAAAAGTGGATACAAGTGTAAAAGGATTTAATGTAGCTCAACACATGACTTATGTTTAGTATGTAAAAGAAACATATAAATTTCATAATTCAAAAAGACAAAAATAGTTTTGCAGGAAACAAAACTATTTGGATAGCAGGCTTGACCAAATAAATGTTTTGGTTAAACTTGATATATTTTAAATGATTCTATTTCTGCCTTTATTTCTGCCCTAAAAGCAACCTAAAGTATTTTGGGAGTTACTCTTATCTGTTCCTTTGACTGTGAGTGTAATTTATATCATGGTTTACAAAACGTGGCATGAAGGATCGGATTGTTTTATCTGTATAATACAATGAAAGATGGCTTTTTTACATAATCACGGTGAATGGTATTGTATTAGGATTGATTTATTCATTCGGTGACTTAATGAGTTCCATCACTTTTGACATAATTGTTTTCTTATGGTTAACTTAGTCATTTGGGGCTTATAATACCCTCCTATGTATTGTGATACTAAGGGAAGTTATGTTTTCGCTTTATTTTTAATTAAACTAATAGTTTGATAATTTATATTTGCAAATGATGCATTTTAAATGTGGTCACTTGCTGTTTGAAAAATAAAAATATAGAATACTGTTTTATGAATAGACTTTTAGCAGTATTTTTCACGTTAGTGAATTTCAAACCAAATGTCACTGAGGCAGATGGAGGCTCATGAAGATGCTTGTGTAGGAACCCGAGGGGATAACTGCAGCCATAGAGTACTGAAGGATTTGATTGAGATGAACAAAGTTTCTGTCAGTTTTCTTCTCCTTTGGGTCTATCTTGACACCTCTGATTATAGAAAATGGAATATCTGGCCTTAATTCTAACTTTGGACCTCACAGAAAATAGTGGTATTGTGGCAATAGAGTCACTTGGATAGGAGCACGCGGCGTTGGGTAGTTTTCCTTTGGGGGAACTTCTTGACACTAAGTGGGCTGCCCACGTTCCTGTCCCTACAGGAGTGTGAGGCCATGAGCCTCGCTGCCTCGCACTGCTTTCACATGCTTCTGGAATACAGAGCAAACACAGCAGTGTAATTTGATAGGCCTTTGTTTCAATAGGCCTGCTTTGGTATTGTTTTTAAAATGGCTTTTAAAGAACTTGAAGTTCTGTGTTGACATTCATCTCGTGTAATGATTACTCTCCATTGTTTTAGGTTGAGCAGTGTTAAGGTGTGCTGTGCAAAGTGCACCCGTAAGTAGCACCGGCTTGCTCAGCCGTGTATTGGAAATAAGAAATCCAACACGGATAGCTTCTGCCTGTTGACTTTTACAATATCAAGATACTAAAGCAATACTGAAAAACAGGACATTTTTCAATGCTTTTATGTTGAAAAGAATTGCCAGACCTTACATTTTGTGTTCAGTGAGAAAAAAGAATCCACGTAGCTGTATTTTCTGCTAGGAGGAAGAAAGAGTCTTCTGCTCAAAGTGCTGGTTGTTTATTTAAAGGGTTGAAAAAATATCTCTCTGTTGGAATATTTTCCTTGTGCTGCACGGCGTGAACTGTTTTGTAGCTCCAGGGCGGTTCATGACAGAGGGATCTGGAGGTGGGGCTTTGGATTTAGGGAGATGGGATGGAAGAGTGTCTGAGCGGTCAGCTGTCCTGTGCATTGCGCTTGCCAGATGAGCAGAAGAGAGTTGCCTGTAGAATGCCATCTGCTCTTTTGTCTGCTTTAGCTGTCATGACGTGGAGCTGCGAGAAGGGAGCTGGAACTGGAGCTGGAGCCCTCCCAGGAGCAGCAGTCCTGCAGGTAAGCTGCCCCACACTGCCCTTCTACCTTGCCAGGTTGAGCTTCAGGTCCGACATGTCCCCAGTACAGCATCTGTATTCTGAGTGCCAAAGGCAGGCTGGCACATACATGCTGGCAGAAAGTGCATCTGAGGGTTTGGTGAGGTGCCATCTCAAAGTGTGGTGGTGGCAGGGATCTTCTGCAATCCCTGCAAAAAAAGCATACTCCTATATTTGTCCTTCTGGGTGTTTGCTGGCTGGGTGTTTGCTGGCTGTACCAGAAGCTGCTGTCAGTGGGCAGCTCCCCTTGCCCTGTACCTGCGCCCACCCAGTGAGTGGAGGCTGCTGCCTGACTTGCAGCTGATCCACATGGGTATGGGAAATCATGGGAGATGGTGAATTAACAGCCAGAAGTGCTGAGGATATTTCAAGGTAATGGTGATCACGGAGTGAGGTGTAGCAACAACACAGAGGGTGCCCTCGGCAGCAGGAGGATGCTGACTGGTTTGTCTCTCAAGGCCTGGGATTTGCTCCATTTGTTTTGCCAGTTCCCAAAAGCTTCTCTGTCATAAAAATGTCTAATTATAGATCAGATCAGTCTAAGAAAGTTGTGGTTCCAAAAGAAGGAAAAAGAAGGGCAAGGTAAGCTGTGTGCCAGTGAGTTCTGCCTTCCTCCTGAACAGGGCTCAGAAGGAAGTGGGTTTGTGGATTTTCATTTCTCCAAGGCTGTATTTGATGGCTTAAAGCAGTGTTGAGCAGAGGGATTGGGTCACCTGGTTGAACACAGGAGGAGAGCACTGCAGTTCCTTGCCCATGAGCCCTCTGACCTTGGATATGGAGGAGCAGTATGCAGCATTAGGGAAAATGCACTTTAGAAGCAATTTTTTTTTTTTTTTTTTTTTTTTTTTTGCAGTTTAGCACATAAATGAACTCAGGAAAACACTGGCTCTCCGTGGACAGAACTCTGCTTCAGGAGGACCCTCTTGGTTGAACACCCTGCTTTACTGTTGGCATAGGATGTGTCTGTAGACCACGAAGTGATGCAACTCCTATCGTGCAGCTGGCTCACACCACTGCGCCATGAGAATTGCAAGCTGTGTGTGCCCAGCAGCAGCCATGCTGGGAAGGTCAGCAGGGTTCTGTGAGTGGAGCTGGTGGTGGCAGAAATAAGCATCATCCAGCATTCCTGCAACTCCCATCACCTCCCAGCCCTACGGACCTAAATGCACGTCCCTTCTTGCTGAATGACCACATAGAGTGTGCTTAGTTTATTTCGAGCTGCTGCTCTGGTGTTCAGGTTACCTCTGTAAACTCATGTTTCTTTAATGAAAACAAAGCGCTCTGCACATGACAGTGACTTGCTAACACTCAGAGGAGCATATGTCAGTCTGCATTTTTGCACTGGGAGCCCTGGCCCATGCCATGGGAGGATCTGGCCCAGCCTGCTCGTAGGTATCCATTAATGTGTCCTCTTGGAAGGAGTTGCAGAACTATTCCAGGAATCTCTCTACCCTCCCTATCTGGCTCCATCTACCTGTCTGGGCACCTCTTTCCTCTTTGCCCCAGACGTTGCCGTTTCTGCAAAGTGAAGGGTTAAGGTTAGGGTTGCTTTATCTCTGTGGGCACGCTGGAAAATCACTGCTTGCCTTCTTATCGAGCCGTCTTGAAATAGCCTGAATTTGCTTTCTTTTGGAAGCAAACGGAGCTCTCGGTCAGACGGTCTGACTTTCAAGTGGCCCTGCGTGGAGCCAGGAGTCGAATTCGATGATCAGCCCATCGATCGGTCGATTCTCTATGCAGGGACGCGGAACCGGGAGACGGCCGCTCCCTTGCGGAATTGCAGCACCACTGCCCCGTGCTGGCGGCCGTCCCTCCGGCACCTCGGCACGGGCATCCGAACTACCTGCACGCTGATGGCTGCTGCCTTGATACGGGCGGACTCCCGACGTAAAGGAGGGCGGGCGGAGGGTGTGCACCGGCACACGTGGCGGCCTCCTGGCCTCCCCCCGGCGGGAGAAGGCGGTGCCGGGGACGGCTGCGGGCGGCAGGTGAGCGGTGGGACAGGGGGGAGACGCGGGGCTGAGGGTGGGAGGTACTGGGGGCTGGGACTGCGCTACGGGTGGGGATAGGGAAGGGGGAAAAGAAAGCAAAAAAGAGGCAGAAGTGGGAGAAAATAAAGCAAAAAAAAAAAAAAAAGGCAAAAAAAAAAAAGCAAAAATGGAGGGAAAGGAAGCAAAAAAAAAAAAAAAAAAAGGGAAAAAGGAGGAAAAGGAAGCAAAAAAAAGAGGCAGAAAGAGGAAAAAGCAAGCAGAGAAAGAGGGGAAGGGGAAAAAAAAGCGGGGGGGAGGAAGGGAAGGAAAATAAAATAAGGAAATAGAAAAAGGAAGCTGCAGCAGTGAGATCGACCGGAGCTGCTTCCCCAGCAGTGCTGAGCAATTGATCCCACCACGTGTGAGATACCGGAGGGCAGGGCCCTGTGGGGGTCCCAGCGCTTGCAGTGTGTGGGGCTGTGCTCACACTGTCTGTGGCTGTTGGGGTGAGTGAATAATAGGTGAACAACCTTGAGCAGGTTGGGAGCTCCCGTGTGCAGCAGTGTTCTGCTGCCTTATTTCCTTTGCATTCCTGTCTCACTCAGGGCTCTGCAGTCAGGTGTGTTTTTTTTTTTTTCATAGACTGCTTGGTGTCGTTAGTAGAAGCTTCAGGAGGAGTGATGTCAATTAACTCCTGAATTAGAAAGGATTCTGTCATTCTGATTGCCATGGCTGTGTGCTTGCCTCTCACTCTTGTAGTTTATGCCCTGCCTGCGTGTGGTGCTTGCCTCAGTTACTCTATAGGCTAAAGGAATGCATCCATCCAGGTGTGTAAGTAGCTGTGGAATTAAATAATGGAAGAGGGGGTGGTGTTAAGAGAATACTGTCTGCATATGGATTTGGAGTCTTTAACTCCAAAAAAAAAAGGAAGGAAACCCTCAGGAGGTGTCTAGGAGGGCAGTGGTTTCTACTGGGTCAACTCCAGGAATGAAACCTCCAGAGAAGTGTTTGTGCCAGCTTTTCCCTTCTAGTAGGGTCATAGAATCAATAAGGTTGGAAATGACCTCTAAGATCATTGACACCAACCATCAACCCATGCCTACTGACCACGTCCCCGAATGCCACATCTCCATGGTTCTGGAACACCTCCAGGGACAGTGACTCCACCACCTCCCTGAGCAGCTTGTGCCACTGCTGTTCCATTCTTTCTGAAAAGAAATAGTTCCTAATATGCAACCTGAACCTCTCCCGGCTCAACTTAAGGTCGTTATCTCTTGTTCTATGGCTTTTACCAGGAAGAAGAGGCTGACTCCCACCTCACCATAACCTTTCCTTTACCATCCTTGCACTGCACTGGAAGAGGGGGGGGTAGCAGGGCCCTCTGTCAGGCAGAGAATATAGAAGTAGGGCTCTAGACTGCAGAACAGTGCAGTGGAAGGTGATAAGTGCTGTGCAAATGTTAGTGGTGCTGGGAAGTGCTCTGTATGTTTCATGTCATAACAGCGCGGGAGAATGGAATAGAATGAGCAGGCGCCAGATTTAAAGCCAAGTGAAAGGAAATACCTCCCCCAGACAGCACATAAGGAAGCTGTGAAGCTAGTGCTGCAGGATGCTGGGGTTGCCAGGAGCAGGAAAGGACTGAGCAAAGTCCCACCAAGGGCAGTTAAGTGTTAGAGTTGAGAGAGTATTGTGGTGGTGTTGCACTCTGTGGTTCAGTATCAGCTGTTGGCTCTGGTTGGTTAACAGCCTCATGCTTCTGCAGGCTGAGAAGCAGCAGCAGTGCCTTCTGCCTGTCCTCCTTCCACAGGAAGTGCAATAAGACCATGAACCTACAGCAGGGGATTGGGCGCTGCAGGAGCTTGACAGAGAAGAGCTGACGTGCTGGGCTCAGACCCACCAGCTGCAGGGCAGAGGCAGTGTAAAGGGCACGATGAACATCCCACATGGTGCCAGAAATGAGGGCCATGTGCAGGAGCTGTTCCACGAGGAAGCCCAGCAGGTACGTGGGAGCCAGCTCCCCTTGCAGCCTAGCTGCACGTCCCCTGAGGTTTCAGCTGTTGGCTTCAGCAGCACTGAAATTTGCACGTGTCCTTTATCTCCTCTAGAAACTCACTGTTCTCATCCCTAATCTATTGGCTTGTGTGATGACAGAGCTATTTGAACCCATTCTTCCAGCCTGAGTCTATCCAACCTAGTTTGTCTTCTACTCGAAGAGACGCTGCAGTGAGCCTGTTCTTTTTGATGGGGTTTTCAAAGCTCATCCAGTTCCAATCCCATGCCATGGGCCAGTTGCCACCTACTAGATCAGATTGCCCAAAGCCCCATCCAACCTGGCCTCCCAAAACACAGTGCTTCCAAAGTTGGAGCTAAGTCATATCTTCACACTCGTTGGTGGTGAGCCACGTGGCTATAATAGTCATTGACCTTCACACCACTTCTACAGCCTGCCTGTAGACTGTAAGGGATGAAACTGAAGGCTTTGCTTTCCTGCAGGGATCCCAAACACAGAGCAGGCCCTGGTGGAAGATCCAGCTGTTCGTGTGGGAACCGGTGCTTTTTGGGACATGGGATGGCGTCTTCACCTCCTGCATGATCAACATTTTTGGAGTGGTTCTTTTCCTGAGGACGGGGTGGCTTGTGGTGAGTGAGGGCTGATTTGGTTGAACATGAGAATGAGAATAGATAATTTTCTCGTCACCTTTCTTCTCCATCAGAATATGAGTGTTCTTGGTTTTGTGATGCTCATAGGCCGTGAATTGAAGTCCTCTGGTATTTCTTAGCTTTCTTAGCTTTTTAGAAGGTTCCACAAAAATGGAAGGTGGTATTTTTAAGTGTTCCTGTTTTAGCTTTCAGAAAAAGAAAGCAGCATCACAACAGCCAGCCTAGACAGTAAACATGGACATCCTGATGTTGCACTGTTGAGGCAGAAGAATTGCTTTTCAGGCAAAGCACATTACTGTAGGTAGAACTAATTTAACATCTTCCCACTACCATCAGAGCAGATCTCTTCAAAACATAACTGCATTACTTGGGGTCCCCAGTGTGTCTCAGATGGGCAGTCCTCAGCCAGTGGAAGTGTCCTCACTGCCCAAGGGGCTCCTGTGTATGAACTCAATGACTTGTTGGGGTTGGAGCCTGCCTCTTCTCTCTTGCACTGCAGTGTGGGACTGTTCCTGCTGCAATTTGTTGTGCTGTCCCTTAAAATTTCCCCTCAGTAGAAGGAAGGCATCTCCAGGGAATAGTGGAATTTGAACTTCAGGCTCAGTCTGCATCACAAGTGCAAGTTTGTGTCACAGGCACAGTGGACGTTTTCCAAAAGGAAAATGTGCTCTATATTGAACACTGCTTCACTGAAAGCATCAAAAGGGAGTATTGGGACCCACAGAGCTACAGGATCAGGTGAATCCATAGGGCAGCTGAGATGCAGTGGGGCTGTTCCCTCACTGACAGCAGGGTGCAAACCCCAACTCTGCGTTTCACTGATCCTTGGTGGATCAGTGCATGGGTGCTGTGCTCTTTGTCTCACCTCTTCCAGCTAAAACATGGCTCATGCTTTTTGGTGGGAACTGCAGGCTAAAGAAGCCGGGATGGTTCTCCTAGCTTCACTTTTCTGATCTGATTTCCTCCATGTCTCCTCTGAAAGCAAATTACTGCTGGAACAAGCACAAATAAAAAATAAAGTAAGTAAATAAAAACTGGAACAGCTGGAAGACAGCGTGTAAGGGAAGGGAGGAGAAGTCAAGGCTGGCAGAGCACACGTGGCAGAGGACACACATACGTGGATCCATTTGTCAGGCTTTTGCTGTAGATTTTCAGAGTTGGAGTTGGTAATGCCTGCAGTTGCGGAGGACCTCAGTCTTCCACATGTGTTCAATAACTGCTGCACCACTGCGCTGCCCACTTAAACTCCATCCTTCCAGCATGCATGCATAAATAATCAGGGCTTTTGCCTCCCAGTTCTGCCTTCCTCCCACTGGTGTTCTGTAGGAAGGATTTAGGTCTCTTCTGGCCCTGATGTTAAACATTTATTCTGCCTAAAGCCCCACGTTGCCCATTAACCAGGTGCTGCGCTTGCCCGGTGCCTCCTCCAGGATCTGGAAAAGCCCAAGGCCATGTGTATGTTTGCATGTGTGTGCTTTATTTTTTTCTTTTTAACTGAAGCGTGTTGTATTTATTAACCCTTTTAACCTTAGGGTAAGCTATGGAGGAAAAGGAACAATTGTCCTTTTAAAGGAGTGTCGGGTTGTATTGGGCTGTGAGGCTGACCCTGCCAGCAGCTGCATTTGTAACAAATCTTGGCTCTGTTCCCCACTGGCTAGATAAAGCCCTGTCAAAGGCTGTGGGATGCTGAACCAAAATAGGATTTTATGATGATAGTAGCATCCTGGATATGTTTCTGTTGTTTTGCAAAAAGCAGGAAAAAAAAAAAAAGAGATCTGGGATTTCAACCAGCCCCAAGGATGAGAAGCAGTGCTGGTAATAAACAAACCCATATCAAGGCTAGCATGACCTCAGAAACGACTGGAGTGGGAGGAGAGGGAGCAAGGATAGAGAGGAGCAATGGGACAGGGCCTGAAACACAAGTCGAGGCAGAGGAAGTGAGGCCAGACGTGAACTGGGCACTGGGAGAGGCTTCTGATGATGCTGGCTGGCTGTGTGCTGGACTAAGCAATTTGTCAGCAGGGGAAGGTGGGCTGGAGCACGGAGCAAAACTTCTGGAAAATAAATTACAGCTGTGAGAGAGAGGTTTAGAAGGTCCTGAGTGCAGAAGAGGCACTTGAATTTGCATGGAGGAACTAAGTGCCTTCTCCTTGGCTCTTTGGAAGGCATGCTTTCACTGCACATAGGAAATGCAACCACAAATGGAGTGCCTCAAGCAGCGTGCCTTGCACTGCACACAGGCTTTGCTGCTCACCCTACACCTTTGGCTGCAGCCGTTCCTCCCTGACGCTTCCTCTGCCCGGAGCAGGAAGGAAGTTTTTATCGGCAGGGCAAAATCCTCCACACAAAATGCGTGTGAGGAAATTGAGTGTGAGAGCCACCTGCTACTTTGCATACATCGGGCAGATAAAGCCCCGTGTGTGGTGGCCTATGAGCACATTATTTATCTTCCAGGCAGTGTTTCCCTGGAGGTTTTGTTCTTTGTTATCGTTTGGGAGGATTACAGCTTTTAAAGGTAAACGTTGTGATAAATTAAAATTCCGGTGTGATGATTTTAATAAATCAGTTGTCACAAATCCCAAGCGTTTGGTTTTGGAACTACTTTTTGTTCTGAAAGTGTTCTGTTTGTTTGTTTTTGGTTAATATTTCATTCTCGAACATAATGAAACATGGCAATGGCAGCAACCCCCTCCCCGTGGTCGTTGAGTCATTGTTTGGCATCATCCTTTCTCAGCCAGAAGCCGGAATCAGTGATTCATGCAGGAGCCCAGTGATGGAGCAGAGCCTTATCATGGAAGGGTCTGTCCAGCAGGATGAGGCAGCTCTCCTTCAAAAGGGCATCAATAGGATCTGTGAATTGAGCAATCAGTTACATTAATTATATAATTAGGGTGTGTATTGAGGTTTTGTTCTTCCTTTTCATCTGTAATGACTCCATAGCCATTGATCACAAGTAACTAGAGGCGGCTGGGTCCTTTTTCTGTCTCAACCGATTTTTCTTGTGTGAGTTGGTTTTTGTTATTGTTTTCTCATTGCAGGGAAACACTGGTGTTGTGATGGGCATGTTTCTGGTATCCTTTGTGGTCCTGGTTGCTCTGGTGACAGTCCTATCTGGAATTGGGGTCTGTGAGAAGTGCAGCATTGGAAGTGGAGGCGTCTACTCCATGATCTCTACCGTCCTTGGAGGTCAAGTCGGGGGGACCATTGGGCTCCTTTATATTTTTGGCCAGGTAATTAGAAACATGGGACGATAATTAAAAATTAGAAAGTTATCAGTCTTTCTAAATGCATCTGTAAGAGCAGGCCAAATGGCAGAGGAGTTGGTTTTTATGCAGTCCCTTCCATTCCCAAAGTACCCCTGGTGCCGAGACATGCCTTGCCCTTAAGGAGACATAAATCCAACAGAAAGGCAGTGGACAGGGTGGCCAACTAAAGCAAAGAGCCCTCTGGGCTGCCATGTTGGCCTTTATGTGCTCACTATGCCCTTGGGGATGTGGGATACATGTGGACCGGGCTAGCCTTTGACTGTTTCTCCAAATGGGACAGAAGTGGAGCTGGTGTATGATGGGAGCTGGGCAGACATAAGGGCACAACTAAGTGGTGTTTTGAGAGTCACAATTTCTGTGTTTTCTGAATGGCCTCGAGGAGCCATGGTGGTAGAGCACTGAAATGCATGTGTAGTAAACATAAAGAGTGGAAAATAATCTCTTAAATCTGTGGAAACTTAACCCCCTCCACCTGTAAAGATGTTATGAACAGTCTGAAGTGTGGTGAGCAGGGAAGAATTTGTATTGAAGTTTGTTTTTAAATGATTGACTTGCAGCAATCTCTGAAAACCCTTAAAAAAAAAAAAAAAAAAAAAAAAAACAGAAAGAATCCCCTCTTCTCCTTTCACTTCAGATTAAAAGCAAGTGTCCATAAAATACAAATTGAATGCAGTTATAAGCCAAGATATGGAAATGGGCCACACATGAGAATCCTTCCTGTAATATTTTCCACTCCTGCTCTCTGAGTGGACCCTGTCTGGGAAAGCAATCAGGTTGCAGCCTCTCCCAGGGGTCGTAAAACCTGGCCTCTGGCAGCCCCATCCTGTAGTGAGGCATCCAGCACGCATGGGGGCTGCGGGGTGGGAATTGGCAACTTGAGGAGAAATGCTTTGCGTGCTCCCGAAAGCTGATGTGTTTCCCTTCTCTCTGGCTGTGCTCAGCGGACTTCTGCCTTTTTCTGCCCCAGCTGTGAGCTGCATCTCTGTTGCAAACTGCACACAGAGAGCTGTAACTGGTCAGAAGTGGCACAGGAACTGGGTACGTGGTCCTGCTGCCTTCATTAATGAGAGGTTGCTCAGCATCCTGGGGCATGCTGCAGAGATGGGCTGGAAGCCAGCGTGGGGTCCTCTCGTTATGCGCTGGAGGACATGCTTAATCACAGGATCATAAAGATTGGAAAAGACCACTAAGATCATCAAGTTCAAGCTCAACCCACCATGCCCGCTAACCACGTCCCTCAGTGCCACATCTCCACAGTTCTTGAACACCTCCAGGGACGGTGACTCCACCCCCATCCTGAGAAACCCATTCCAGTGTATCTCCACTGTCTGAGAAGAAATCTTTCCTAACGTTAATCCTGAATCTCCTCTAATCAGGACCAGTGCTCCTATACCAGCTCCTCCAGAGATCAGCATGTGCTTGGTCATGGCAGGTTGGGCTGCAGGGCTGAGGTTTGATGCTCTTCTAAGCAGTCTCCTTTTCTGGAGTGGCTCACAGTAAGAACTGTTCAAAGAAAGAAAGGTTTTGTAGCCATAAAATAGCTTTCTGCTGAAAGCAAATGTAAAGGTAGCACTTGTCTGGGTGTTAAAAATCAGTTAGGTTCTTAACCCAGCAAAGTGTGTGTCTTGCAAAGGCTCTTAAGGAACTGATTTCTGCAAGCATTCAGCCTAGACATTCTGTTCTGGTTTCAAGATAGGTAGTTCAAGCCCCAGTAAAGAACCCCTTGTTGCAGGGCCACTGGGGTGGTGTCTTGTTATTGTGCAAGGTGGCGTGGGGACTTCACAGACACCTGACTCCTGATCTGGAGATGTCATGTTTTATTGAAGGGTAGGCTTCAAGGATGTTTGAGGTGTTGAAACTCTCTCCTGCTCTGCTCCTTTCTGAGATTCCTCCTAGCAACCCTTACTGGTGCTGATGTGCAGCTGTATACCTGGCTTGGTTTGCCAGCTATGCTGTGTGTTGAAAGGGAATGTTGCTGAAATGCACATCCTGGAAACCTTTGAAATTGGGATTGCTGCCCCACAGTGTGATCTGAGGGCTGAACCTGCAGCTGTTTTCTTCTGCTGTGGATGTCGCATCCTATGGACTGCTGGCCACCCAGGAAGAGTAAGGGAAATAAACAGCTTTCCCAAGTGCTTGGGGAGCATGGACTGCACAATATGCACTCCTCAAATGTGCAGGCTCCCTTCCAGGAATGAGACAGGGAGCCAGTGAAGCATCAGGCTTTACATCCAAGCTAAATACAGATTTAAAAGTAAACCCTAGGAAGCAGGGAGGGGAGAAGCATGTTGCTGCTCTTCAGGCAGGTGTTTGACTAGGAGCCTTTCTTTCAGAGAAATAGAAGAAGCTAAAAAGGTTGACTCATCCTCTTCTTCCTTGGATAAGCCGGAGTGGTTTCTTTTGGAATGTTAATTGAAGGTATATTTTAAAGCGAGTGGACAGTTGCTGGTTGCTACTGTGTTTACTCAGGCAGTACATACAGTGCCTTACCCACGCTGCTTTGACAGTGTCCTCTGCTGTGGCAGTAGGATACAGGCAATGCCTGTAGGCCAGAGTCACCTTAAACACTGCAGTGTGGCAGCAGCAGGCTGAGCCCTGCTGCAGGCACTGCACCCACAGGGTGCTTACAGACCTCTGTCCTTCAGTGTGTTGCAGGTGCCATGTACATCACCGGCTTTGCAGAGTCCATCGCGGATGTACTGAACCTCAGCAACATCTGGGCGGTGCGGGGCATTTCCCTGGCGGTGCTGCTGGGGCTGCTCGGGATCAACCTGGCAGGGGTGAAGTGGATCATCCGCCTCCAGCTCCTGCTGCTCTTCCTGCTGGCTGTCTCGACGCTGGACTTTGTGATCGGGTCCTTTTCACACCTCGATCCAGGTAAAGCTGACAGTCCTGAGCACTGGGGAAAAGGGTGTTGGTTCTTCTGGGGTTTTCTGTATAGGCAACTTTGTGAAGGTACACATCCAGACAGAGGTAGAGCTCAGGGCTATCAAATGTGGCAACAGGACCTCTTAGAGCAGATTGCCCATGACCATTACAACTTTCTGTGGAGGAGTTTTTTCTCTGGAAGCCTGGGGCATCCTTTAAGCCCTGGCAGTGTGATGTGCAGCTGACACTAGCTCTGTGCTGCCCAGCTGAGGAAGCACTGCTGAATTCTTTGCCCAGGGCAGAGGCTAATGGTATGGAGAAGGAAGTTGCTGAGGTTTCGAAGAGTATCCTCTGTTACCTTTCCCCAGCCTGGCAGCAGCCTGCTATGGGTTCTCCAGCATGAGGCAGGCAGTGGGGGCAGCTGGGCATGGATAAGGCAGAGGGATGGAGTTCCCTGAGCATCCTTCCCCTCTGTGTCTTCATCCCTAGAGATGCTGGTTGGGAGCCCACCGCAGACTATAAGGAGCTGATGAGCACTGCAGCAGTCAGTAACTGTAATTAGCTGAGTAAACAGAAGGTGTCACCTTTTTCTTGAGTTCTGCTGCATCAAAAAGCATCGTAAGGGGGGAAAGTTCAAGAAACCCGCTAAAGCAGCTCGTGGAAAGGCATCTGCATTTCATATTTAGCATGTGCTCAGTGTGGAATAGTTGGCATGTCTTGAAGGGAAAGCAGCTAGCCTGCTCCAAGCAGCTGCTGTGCGTAGAAGTCCTTTTCTAAGGGAAACCATGAGGGTTTGCATTCCCTTCATGCTCAGGGGTGACCTTTGTATAGACCCAGAGACCTATAAGGAAAGAGAATGAGGGTTTTTTGTTAGCTTTTGTGTTGTTTTTTTTTTTGTTTTTTGTTTGTTTTTAAATTCAGCTTCTGTTTAAGAGGACGGTCTAAGCTTGGGCTGGGTGCTGCATTTCCCCAGCAGGCCTCTGAGTGGTGCGTCAGCACCAACAGTGAGCATGGCCTCTGTGGGCTTGGGCCTCTCCTGTGCACCAGTTAGCAGAGCGCCTTCCCACCCATGCTGGGAGGGGTGTGAGCAGGTCGGGAATGATGCTGGAGATCTGTGCCGCCGCCAAGCACTGTCTGCTTGGGTTTAAGTAACCTCCACGAGTGTGCCTGTCCATCCCAAGGGCCTGGCGCCCGAGCCCATGTGTGGTTGTGCTGGGTGGGGGCCCCTCACTCATTCCCCCCATTCCTCAACCTCACACCCAGGCGTGCACAACACGGGATGTGGGCCGAGCTCTCACTCCCTTCCTGTGGTTAGTCTTTATTTTTAGTCGGAGGACAGGCCCTATTTAGACAAAAGGGGTTCTCAGCAGGACTTCCCGCTGCTTTCTCCTTTCCCTCTCCACGGCTTGTCCTGCTGTGGGGAGCACTCGGGGCTGTGGTCTCTTCTCCAGATGTGGCTGTCCCTGTGGAGGCTGCAGGGTTCGATCTCGAAGTAGAGCCAGGAATCCCAAGAGGCACTGCACGGAAAAGAAGCTGTAAAAGCAAAGGCAGGAAAAGTGTTTGTGTATTTAGGTGCATGGGAAAACAAACAAGCAAACAAAAAAAAAGGTGAGAATCACTGGCACTCAGAAGCAGACTTGCCTTGCCCAGGTACCACCAGGCTGCAGCATCCCTCCTCCTTAGCCCCAAACGTTGGCATGGTCCCAAGACCCAGACACTCCTTTGGGGGCCATGGAATTCTAAATTTCCCCATTGGACCGAGCCAGTGCTTCTCCGGTGATGGGCCAAGGTCCCAGGTTACTGTGAGGGGTAGCTGGTAAGGAGAGAGGGGTAGGTGGTAAGGAGAGGGACTCCCATGCCATCTTTCTGCTGGGCTCTGAACTAATCCAAGCTCAGTGTCACCTCCAGAAACGGTCACCCCCATGTAGCCCCTCTCCCCCCCATGTCTCCTCATGGCTTTCTCTTCTTGCCAAACCTAATGCAGGTGAATTGAGAGCAGACAGAATGGGACGTTGTGTCCACTATGCTGCTGAATAATGTGTTGCAGGCAGAGCAGCAGTGCTGGGGTTTCTTGGTATGCATAAATGCTGTAGATCCGTGCTTCAAAACCAGTCTGCGTTACTTTGGGGGGAAGCAGTGAACATAAAAGAAAGGATGCTGTGATGCTGTCTGTCCGCAACCAACTCCTCAGAACATCGTGTGAAACTTTTTGGCCTCTTCATGTACTGAGCATTAGAGTCATGGAAAAAGAAGATAAGACCGCTGTTAGTGCCCACACTTTTATTTTCCTAGCATATCTCTGCTAATTTTTGTGTAGGGTGACTCCCAAATACTCCCTTCAATTAGGCGCCAGCTTTCCTGTTTTGGCAGTTGCTCACAGGTACCCTGCTACAGCCCAGCAGCTCTGTGGGAGCAAACTGGGAGGAGGGATGGGGTTATTTGGGGGGAGATCTGGTGTTAATTGGGTTGTGCTTTGTTTTGGTGGTGAGATGAAAGGAGTCGCAATACAAGCAAAAGTGCCCCCAACAACAGCCTCTTTAATGTTCTTAGAAGAGGGAAAAAATTAAAAGTACGGATTCTGTTGGCAGGGTGTTAGATAATAGGAGGGTGGGGGTCTGGCTGACTGAGCAAGGCCTGAGGATTGTTTGGGCTGGGGCTCCCCTCCTGCAGCTTGTCCAGGAGCCGAGCCTCTCTCCTGGTGGAGCCCAGGCAGTCTCTCATCATGCCGGGGCTGCTGGGAGTCTTTGGAGTCCTCTGAGGCCCTGAGCATAACCCCTGCTTGCATCCAACCCCCTGCAGCCCCTGGGCGTGCTGCTGCTAGAGAGCTGCTGGTTGGGATTATTCTTCACACAAACCACATCCTTCGTGTCACCCGCTTCTGTTGTGGCCTTTTGACAGTATTCTCACGGAGCTCAGAAAAACGTTTATCCTCACTTCTTCCTCTAAGGATGAGCCTTGTGAAGGATTTCTCCTCATTGGGTGTCCCATGGCTGCCTGGGAGAGCTGATGCTCTCTCTCCTGCCAGGGGAGGGGACCGAAGGGGACATTTGCATGGGGCTGCTCTAGCAGAAAGGGAACCTGCAGCTGTTAAAATGACGTGTTTGTAAACACATCGGTGCTGTAAAGATCCCTAGAGTGCTTTGGAGACTTTGATGGATTGAATCAATTAAATGTATTCACGTATATTTAACATGGAAATGATCAAAGCTTCCTAATCAGAGGCTTTTACTTGGCCTGGGCTGTTCTCTATTGTATTTTTGGGCACGAGGGGTGTGCCCCAGTTTTCTAAGAGAGGGTGCAGGAAGGATGTGTGTGTCAGAAGATGATCTGCAGCTAATCCCAGAGGCTTTATCCAGGCTGATTGCTGACTTCCTGGCTTGAAACACATCTGGAAACTGGCATCATATTCCAAGTAGGAATCGTGGAGTGAGCGGCAGCAGAAAATCCCACTTTGCTACTGAACAAGGTAGAGCTGGTGGTGAATAAAAGCAGGAGGCTGCTAATGCGATCTTTATTTATTAAAAAACACGCGATTGCTTTCCCCAGGTTTTTCCAATTATAGCACATTGAATCGGAGTGACATCACCTTTGAGTGGAGGCCAGCCTATTCAACAGTCTGGAGAAGAAATTTATTAACTGGTTACCTGCCAATTGTCTGGGCTAGGAGCTGCAGCACAGATGTGTTTTGAAAAGTGATAACATTGTTAGGGGGGCTTGTTTAGGTACAGACAGGAAAGCTACATCAGTCTCTCTGAAGTAGGAATTTAAGACAATTTGGTTTTTTTAAAAAAAAGATAATACAAAATGTAGCTTGACCTGTCAGTTTTCTGCATGGTGTGTTTCCACCATGTCCCCAGCAGCCAGCAGCATCTCCCACAGTGGTGGTGAGGAGGGGATGAGAGCTCGGGGTCCTGCAGGATGCTATCTTTTCCTTTCTTGTGGATTTTCTTCAGAATCTGCAGCCACCTGGATTGCTGTTCTCTTGCCCTGTCCCTGCTGGCCGGGCTTCAAGCAGCCATGCTGGAAAGCAGGTTATAAGGGGATTCAGTGTTCCAGTCACAGCTATTCCAGGCTGTTCCCTGATTACTGCTGCCGAAGCTTTGGGTCTCCCAGGGACTTGAGAACCTGCTGATATCCTGTTTTTCTGTATTGAACCTCGCTAAAACCTGTGCTGCTCCCCTTGAGTTTCGTTCGTACAGGAGCAAATGTCATTCTTAGGGTGTGTAGTGTAGGGGATGGTCCTAATGTTGGTCGGGACCCTAAAGCATGCCACTGCACTCAGGGTCTGGCTGGGAGACAGGGCTGCCTCAGGTCCATCCCTGAAGCAGCAGAGGGTTTTCTTTTGTCTTATAGGTGTTGGTTTTTAACTCATTTAATAGCAGCAGCAGTAGGAATTAGGCTGTTGGTTCAGCCTGTGATAGTACTGGTGTGATAAACACTGCTGCTGCAGCCCCCTGCTGCAGAATGGGTGATAACCCTCATGATTTATCGAGGGGATTTTGTACATGGTTCGTTTAACCTTTACTTCCTTTGCTGTTTCTCTGTGAGGCACTGCTAAACTCATCTCCATTGAGCTTGCAACTAAACCCTAAAATACCTCAGTGGCTTCATTGGTGGATGTTCTTGCTGCCCATGCTGCCTGTTGGCGGATCCCCAAACTGGGCAGGGAGCTGGCTCGGCTGCAGCATGGTGCCTGGGATTTGTCCCTTATTGGACATTGCCTTCCAATGGGCTTTCTCCGATAAAACCTCTGGGTTCTCTGTTTTTGTTTAATTGTTTAATGCTAGGGACCTCACAAGATGGTCTGGATGCATAACATCCCATAATCCCTTCATTTTTCCCCGTCCCCGTGTATAAACTAGACAGCTTTATTTAATTGCATTGATTTTTTTGTGTATGTGTGTGTGTGCCAGTACATGATTCTTTTCAAATGATGGAGATTTTGTGCCTCCTTGTATTCCATCCCTGCAGTGTTTAATTCCTGTCACAGTTCAGCTGTGCCCTGAATC